CCTCCCTATCTCTCTCTCTCTCTCTATCTCTGTGGTTTAATCTCTGCTTCTTATTGTGCCAGAAACCCAGTTTTTGGGGAAACCGTTTCAGGTGCGGGTGACATGGTTCCTTTTCCTCTATTTGTCCGCGATTCTAAGTTTCTGGTTGATAATGTGCGTCCAGGAAGCAAGATTTGAGTGCGAGCTCTGACACTCCGCTCAGCACCGCTCACGCACAGATTCACCATCTTTTCTGACGTTATAAATGGTCATGTTTGCAGAAATCAGCAATCACCCCTTTCTTACTGAGAGGAAGCGGCCTGGGAGGGGAGGAGACTGGGGGGCCAGCATCAGATGAGTCTCGGAGTTTCAAGTGGTATTTTCCAGATAAAAAGTAATAATGGCAACTGACGCTCGTTGAGCTCTGAAGCGTGTGCCAAGGGCTTTGCCTCTTCTAATCTTCACGGCGAACCTGTGAGGTTAGACCCATCGACCCATTTTACGGTGAGGAAACTGAGGCGTGGGGGGCTGGGGAGCTCAGCCCTGATCACACAGGCAGGAGCTGGCTGAGCTGGGATGCGAACCCCAGACTCTCTGACTCCAGGGTCCACATGCAAATGCAGGGGGTGCTTCATTCCGAGGGAACAGACTGTGCAGAGCCCCGCGCCGGCTGGGGAGACCAGAGACCCAGGATGCCGCTGTCAGAGAGGAACGTGCTTTGGGGCAGAGCAGCGGACCAGTCGGATCTGAAGCTGGAAAGGCAGAGAGCAAGGTGGGGCCGGGCCAGGCCTGGACGCTCCCCCAAGGAGCTCTGATTTGCCGTTGTGGACAATGGGGAGTGGGCAGGAGCCCAGGCTCACCCATTACTACTGAGCTGCCCTGGACAAGTTCTCACCCTCTCTGGCCTCCAGCGTTTCAGTCAGGGTGCCTCCCTTGCAAGCAACAAAATTCTTGGCCTTAAACAAAAAATGGATTTCTTGGCTCCCATATTTAACAGTCCAGGGGTTATGGCTTCAGGTGCAGCCTGATCCAGGATCAAAAGGTATTGCCAGATCTTTCTCTCTACTTCCTCTGGCTCCAGGGTCCCCTGGTCATGGGAGCCCATAATAAGTCCCTCCTCTCCGCTCCGCCCCACCCAGTGAAGATAACGAAGCCACACCCCAGAATTCCCAGGATCCCAGGTCCTGGGGGCCTCCCAGTGGTACAGCTGACACTGTTCACTCATCGCTCGAGGTGGCTGTGAGGGGCAGAAGGCACCCATCAGGGCTCAAAAACCAGAAAGGCAGAGGGCGTTTTCCACAAAAGAGAGTCTCGCTGCTGTGGGCGGAAGGTCAGTGGGTCCTGGGTCCGGCAGGGCCGCCAGGATGCCCACTCAGCTCGAGACCCAGCATGCAGAGTGACAGGGAGAGCCGAGACTTCCCAAGGGCGCCCAAGCCCAGCGTGCAGCAGGCGCCGAGCCAGCGCTCCCTGCCCTCTGCTGGGCTACTGACTGGGAAGGTGGGCGAGGGCGGGGGGCGGAGGCCTCACGGGTCCCCCTGCCTGTGGGCTGCGCAGCCCATGGGCACTGGCTGGGGAGAGGGCGCAGGTCAGGAGGGAGGTGGTGGATCCAGCCCCGTGGGGACAGTGGACGGGCACTCGGAAGGGGCAGCCAGCGGGCAGTTCGACACTCAGGTCTGCAGCTTGGGGACTCTCGGGGGCGGGTGTCTGTCCAGGAGTCTCGGGAACAGAGTGGTAACTCACACGTGGCATGGGCAGGTGTGCGGGGGAGGTGTCGGGGACGCCCGGGGAGGCGGAGCAGCGAGGGTGGCTTCCTTGACCGGGCCAGACATCGTGGACATCAAGCCGGCCAACATGGAGGACCTCACGGAGGTGATCACCGCGTCCGAGTTCCACCCGCACCACTGCAACCTGTTCGTCTACAGCAGCAGCAAGGGCAGCCTGCGCCTCTGCGACATGCGGGCGGCCGCCCTGTGCGACAAGCACGCCAAGCGTGAGTGCGGTGTGGGCCGCGTCCTGAGCGGC